GCAGGGGCAGGGGCAGGAGCAGGAGGAGAGCGAGGAGGCGGAGACCCGCGCCGTGGCCACGTCCCCGGACGGCCGGTTCCTCAAGTTCGACATCGAGATCGGCCGCGGCTCCTTCAAGACGGTCTACAAGGGGCTGGACACCGACACCACCGTGGAGGTGGCCTGGTGCGAGCTGCAGGTGAGCGCTGCCCCCGGGACCCGGCGCTTCCTCCACCCCGATCTGGTGGCCCGCAGAGCCCGGAGCGCAAAGGCTGAGATGAGAAATCCTAGCTTGGGGCGGCAGTGCTCGGAGCTGGGGCCGAGTGGCCCTGGCCTGGAAGTGGAGCGTGTGGGACGCAGGTAGGGATGCGGGTGCCCAAGGGACACTCCAGCCCCTGACCTGCTTCCCCACTCCGCAGAGACCGCCCCTGTTCGAGGGGTGCCAGACCAGCCTATGCCCAGGGAGGAGGAGGTCAGACAAAGTGGGGACAGCCCTAGGCTATGGCTGGCTTTACCTTGGCACCTGTGATCTGTTGCCATTCACCTGGGCTCTCCTATCTGTGCGCCAGGGCCTCCTGAGGCTGGCACGCTGGACCTGAAACACAGGGCAATTTCTGTTACAAGGAAGAATGAGCTGGCAGCGACAGGATATTAAATTACCCTCATTTGCCATCATTCACAACGGTGCCATTTCTGCGGATGGGCTGCAGCACCCAAGCTGGCCGAGCGGACTGTAAGCAGGGCTCACGCGTACCCTGACCCCCCTTCCCAGCACACCTTGGAACCCCTTCCACATCTCAGGCACACATGCTGGCAACCAGGATCCTCATGTGAAAAACTCTTAGTGTCTTGCTGCTAGTTTTTGGATTCCATATCCCAGCCCCATAGCTTGCTGTTTCTTGTCCAGATTGGTGTTGCCTATGTGTTATGGCAGGCCCACAGCCATGCTCCAGACACCTGTGCCAATCCCTGCCCAAAGAGCTTGCAGTTATACCAGGTCAAGACATAAAGGGGTCAGCATGACCAAGCACTTTGCTGGCTCTGGCTGAAGTAGGTAATTGTGTGCAGTGCCCCAGGAGAGTTAGCTGGGTTAGAGTGCTGGTCTGGCGGCACCAGTGCCTGGCTTCCTCAGTGTGTTTGGAGCAGAAACAGTTAACTTGGTTCAGGGGTACTGCGTCCCAGTCAGGCTCTAACAGGTTATTATGACCACAGCCTAATGCAGTGCTGGCAGCTTTATAAATAAAGAAGCCTTGATGGGTACCTGTGGCTTGTGGGTAGTCTGCGTGATGCTGCCAGAAGCTCTATAAGCCTTCTGGAGGTGGATGTAACAGCCACTGTATTAGTGCCTGGACCCAGGGCTTCTGCTAGGGTCCCTGTTTCTTTTCCTTTCACCTCCATGTGCCTTGCTGGTGGGCCCCAAAGAGGCAATGATTCCAGGGTGCTTGTGCCAAGGAGGCTGGTGTCATTACTGTCTTTGCCCCCTCTGTTTCCTGACTCAAGTGTTTTCGATGGCACAATTGCTAGTAAGGAGGTGAGGCCACAGCAGGGCAGCGTGGGGCTGCACAACCCCATGCTGCTGTCTGTGTTGAGGCCCCTTTTCCATTTCGGCCTCCTTAAGTTATAGCTATGGTCCAAAGTCTCTGATAACCTCTTTGTCCTGAGGAGGCTACATCTAGAGGTCCCAAGTCCTTGTTTACACAGGATAATGTGTCTTGTGAGTTTGTCATCCTGGCCCCTAACCCCTGTACTGTGCTGCAGAGGTGGCCGCTTCTCAGCGTGGGGAGCAGGGCCCTCTTTGGAAGGCTCTGGGGTTCAGCTCTCAGCAAGGAAAGCATCATGATTTGGGTGGTGCAACATAGATTCATAGATGTTGGGGAGGTACACGGTCACTTTCATCTGACTGCCAGCTTGCTCTGTAGCCCTGTTCCTATGTGTGTCCCTTGTTTTGGTCAGGACATTCCCACCTTCCCAAATCTGGAATCTCATTCCTCCAGGACGAGTGTCCGGGATAGAAACCATTGCCCAGCATGTGCTTCAGGGTGAACTTATTTCACCTTGCTTTCCCTATTTGGATAATTGCGGTCTCCCTCCTGGCACTGTGATGAGTGTCTGCCTGTGTTTCTTATCTACATGCTGCTTCTCGATCTTGCCCTGTTGTCAAGGCCCCAAACTGAATGGGGATACAGACCCCATGACAGACCAGCACTTCTCAGGCCAAAGGTATATACTGTGCAGGAGGCCTTGGGGATGCCCTGGAGGTATCCAGTGCATGTCTGCAATGCTGGGGGAGTCCTCAGGGGGATGCAGCAGAGCACTATCTGTATCAGTCTCTCAGCCAGCCTGGCACGTAATGCCTGTCATGGCCAAACTTGCTGTCATGGTGGCTGTGTAGATGACTTCCTGGCAGGCTTGAGAGATGATGCTGAATGGTATTTCTGGGGGGAGGGGGGAGCAGTGTCTACTATTGCCATCTAGGGGCCCCTCTCTGTAGAGGGTGGTTCTGGCAATTCCCCTGTCTGCTGAGTGTCCTGTCCAGCAGAGTGGCAGGGGGAGAGAGGCAGGGGCAGTTGGATACAAAGTTCATGCAGAAAGCCCTGCTATGTTGCCTGTGCTTGCCTTGTATGCAATGGTATGGGGCCAAAGCCATCTGTGCGTGCTGCAAGGGAATGGGGTTGCAGGAGTAACAGGAGTCTCTCGGCTGGCAGTGATACCCTCCTTTGGCATTTACTCGGCTGCTCCCCTGTAGAACCAAGCTTGCCTTTAAAGAGGCACGCTCCCCCTAGTGCAAGCCAGCCACAGTGTTAGTGTCCCTCAATCCTGATGCCTCCCCACCCCAGCTGAGGGCTCCCCTACACTCTCCTAGCTCTGTTGGTCCCCTGTCTCCCAATCCACAGATCACTATTGTACCAGCTCTGCTGATGCTCTCATTTAGGATATCCTTGGTTCAGCCTCTCTTGTCCCAAGACCCATATCCCAAAAAGGGATAAGAAACATTTTGCTAGACCTTAAAAGTCTGTTTTTTGAGCAACAGTCATGGAGAGAATTGGACTCTGTGATACGAATATAGGATTCTGGACCACAGATAAAAACGGTTGCGGTTCTGCCCTTATAAAAATAGCTTTGTCCTCTGTTTTTCACACAGTTGTCTTTTATGGCCTTTAAAATAGAAATGGTCACCTCATTCCAGCCCTGGACTCCTCACACAGCTCTCAGGATGCCCCTTAGTCTTGAAAATCATTCCTTTCCCCATCCTAAGCCCATGCCTGTTCTATCCCTGGGCTCCCACCCAGCTCTGCTGTTGCCCCTTGCTTCTGGCACCCAGCTCCTGGCTGTCCAGCCCTGGGCTCCTCTATGCTGCAGATTTGCCCTGACCTCTCTTTGCGTTCCAGATTTAGTTTTAAAACAGTGTTTTTGTTGACAAATGCCTGGGGAAAAGAATGGGGTGGGGCAGGAGGGGACTAGAGGCCCACCTTGGGACTAGTCAGTAAATATGTTGATTCTCAGTGGTTTTTCAAATGCTTCCTCCCTCAGCTCTGCTGCCCTCGGCAGCAACACAGAACCAGCCCTGGGGCTGCCTGAACTGGCTGAACTGTGTTTGCACCCCCTTTCTTTGTGTATAGAGTGCTCACCCAGAAAGGTCCCCAAGACTGCCTCCCTCTTCCTCACCCTGGTCTGCAATGCCCTTGCCCACCCATGGGGTGATGGTGACTCGCCCAGTTGGAGCCCCATCCTGGACATGAGCCCTCTGGGTGATGTGAGCCATGGGACACGGAGAAGAGACAGCTGCCAAGGATCGTGCATGGGGTGGGATCCTGGGCAGTCACTTGCATGGGGTTGGGTGCTTACCAGCTGTGCCTGTTGCATGTTGGTTCAGAAGCCTCCGCCTGATGCCACTGTGCCACCTAGATGCTGTGGTTTGTGCCTGGAGGGAGAGGGGTTGTGGTTAAATGCTCTGGAATAGCAGACAGCGGTGCCTGTTGCATTTTACACTGCAGCAGCAGCAGCATCCTCTGAGGCAGGAGCTTTGGGCTCTGGGGCAGTCTTTGTGCTTGCTTGCTCACTCTAGTGGGTCCCAGCTGTGTGAGGTAGCCATTTGATAAGGAGGTACATCTCACATAGGTAGCTGACAGCCTCTCCCCACTGCTGTCCCCGATAGTGGCATGCAGCCCTTCCCTTCCTGTACCTCTGTTATGTTCCATGTCTGTAGCAGGGTGCAGCGTGTGCATGGTAGAGCCCCGAGTTTAGCCTGGCTTCCCCAGAGGCAGCACCAGGGTGGGAGGTGATGACTTCTGGCTCTGGGCTGCCTGTTGGCACCTGGGGTTGCTGTCCAAGTAGGCTGGGCTTTTGTTTCAGGCCTCTGGTGCACCCTGGTACTGGGCTGCCTTGGATGAGCTACAGATGTGGGCGTGATGGGGTTGCTCTAGCTTGTGCTTTGTAAGTAAAATCCTCTGCTCGCCAGACATGCTGCAAGGTCGAGAGCAGCCAAGGTATTCTAGGCTTCTCACTCCTACGTGTTTAGCTTGGGGCTTGGGCTGTACCTTCACTCTTGCCTCCCCCTGGGGACAGACCCCCCCACCAAGCTCGGGCTTTGGCAGCATTGTTGGCACAGGTTGTTCTGAACCCCTGGGCAGGGCTGAGTGTGCATGGGGGTGCCACAGAGCTGCTTCTGTAGCTACCTGCAAAATTGTGCTGAGGCTTGGGGGAGAGTGTGCTGCTTCCCACTTGGGAGATCTGGGGGTTGCTAATTACAAGCATTAGGGCTGGTTGCTGGAAGGCTGCACTCCTGTCCAGGGGGTGAGGGACTTCACAGAAAGCCCTGATGCCTGGGTTCTTATCCCTGCCTCAGCTGTGCTGTGAGTCCTTGCCCCCTGCTTGGGTGCTGTGCTCCCAGCTGGGGGGTGCCTGCTGGGAGCCCCTCCTGCTCACCTGTGCCTCCTTCAGGGCAGGGTGATGCTGCTGCTTGGAGAGGGTATGCCCAAGCAATTGTCCTTGTATTTGGGTGGGGGCAGAGCCCTGCAGCAATCTGGTAATGGTCTCCTGGATTATTGAGCATAGTTAGCTAGAGGAACAAATCCCTCCTGGGATTGAGTGCCTGCAGCCTGGAGGTGGTGGGGTGGTTCTGTAGGTATGGGGGAACTCAGCACAGAGGGTGATATATCCAGCTGATTCCCCAACCAAAGAATGTGAGAGCGAGGTGAG